ATCCTACTGTTGGTTTCATTGATCTTTTGTATTGTTTCTTTGATTTCTATTTTGTTTATTTCTGTTCTGGTTTTTATTATTTCCTTCCTTCCACTGACTTCTAATTCATTTGCTCTTTTTCTAGTTCCTTTTGGTGTAAGTTTAGTTTAATTTGAGACATTTCTCGCTGCATTTTTTAATATTTAATTTAGGGTGTCACCATGTGTCTCTGTTTGGGTTTGATTGGAAATCTTTGAGCTTCTTTTACCTGGATGTCTCTTTCCTTCCACAGTTTAGGGAAGTCCTCAGGTATTTTTCTTCAAATAAGATTTTTGTCTCTTTTCTTTCTCTATCCTCTACAAATGCGGATGTTGTACCTCTTGATGTTATCCCATAAATTACTGCAGTTATCTTCATTTCTTTCTTTTTTCTTTTTTTTGTGGGACCCTCGCCGGTGACTGGGGATCGAACTGGCACTGCAGAAGCTGTGGGCAGCCTCGCAACCCAGCACTCAAATCTTTTCTAATTTTCGCTGGTCTGTTTTGCATACATTGAACTCTGCTTGCATGCCTGGCATAAATTCTATCACCCTATCTTCCAGGTTACTGATTCTCTTTGCTGCTTCATCTAATCTACTGATGAACACCTCTATTGTATTGTTTAGTGCAGTTATTACATTCTTTAGCTCTGTCTCTTTTGAACCTTATTATTTTCTGGTTTTGTTGTAGTTCTCATTTTTCATCCATTCCTCTCCTAATTTCTGTAAGCATCATTAAGACTGTTGCTTTAAAATCTTCACATAGTTTACTTAATTCTTATTGCATTAGGATTTTTCCTGGGGGTTAGTCTTGAACAATCATTTGGGATACATTCCTGTCTCCTCATTTTGTTTCATTATCTGTATTTCTGTAGCTTAGGCTAAAGATCTTTATTTCTCAGCCTTGATGTAATGGCCTTATGTTGAATGTTGCAGAATGGAGGTCTGGGGCATTGGCCCAGCATGCTGAGCTTTATTTTGGTATATAGAAGCCTCTAACCAGTATGACTGGAGCTCACAAGTCATCGTGGTTGCGTGGCCTGAGAAACCAGCCTGTTGGTTGGGAAGGAGGGTGGTGGGAGGCAAGGACGTTGCTACTATAGATTGCTGTGGGCATAAGCCTCCCAGGGGCCTTGAGCTGCTGGAACTGAGGAAGGGATGTGCAACCAAGGCCAGCTCAAGGCACTTTCCACAGGTAGAGCTTTCTCTGTAGTCTCAGGCCTGGAACTGACAGCTCAGCTTCAGCCGAGCTCTGATAACAGGTTCTGCAAGCAGTTTTTCCCCAGAGGCACAGGCAAGAGCTGAATGGTTGGAAGGCAGTGGGCTCTGGCTGCAGGCAGTTACTGTGAGTGAATGCAGCCCCAGTAGTGGCTAAGTTTGCCTAGAAGTCAGTGGAAATTCAGGTGGGGCCTGGGTAGGTGTCTCACAGGAGTCCTGTGAACTGCCTGTAGGAAAGTGTCTCCTGTGCTAGCCTTTCTTGGGGCTACAGCCCCGGGAGGGAGCCCTGACTTTAGTCTGCTCCCAGCTGGTTCCACAATTATCCTCAGAGGCACAAGCTCCAGCTGCCAGAACCCAGGGCTATGAGCACAGGCTGCAGGCAGTTCCTGGGGGTGAGTGTGGCTCTAGAATTCACAGGAACTATCTGGAAACCATAACAACCACTGCCTGTGGCAAAGGGGTGAGGTGTTTTGCTCCTTGACCCTGGCTTTCCTATTGATTTTAATCACTGTGGCATCTGCCTGCCCCAGCACCACACAGAAAAATAAGAGAGCCCCTAAGACAGCACCCAGCATCGCCTCCACTCAGAGAAACTCCCCCTTCCCATTACTCCAGGTGAGGTTCGACACACAAGTGTAGATTCTTTAGGCCCATCAGTCCGCTGCCTTTGTGCTCAGCCCAGGATCTCTGCTCCCCAGACTCCGCTCCAGAGGAGAGCCCTCTGTTGTCTACACCTGAATGTGGGTGCTCTCCTCTGGTGCCGTTCCTACATGCTTGCACACTGGATGTGGGAAGTAATACCTACATTTCCTAGAGTCTCTGTGTCACTTATGGCCTTCCAATCCTGGGTCACGGTGCCTAGTGGCGTTCCTGATGCAGCTGTGTCTCAGCCTTTCCTGCCCTTTTCCGTGGTTTCTGTTCCTTTTCCATGTGGAAGCTGGTTCGCCAGTCCTCCTCCTCTCTCAAAGGCAGTGCTCCTGTGGAGTGCAGGTTTCTTTTGTCTGTGGAGAGGAGGGAAGATCAGGATCTTCTCTGCCATCTTGAGCCCCTTCATCTAGAACTGCGTTCCTTAGGGTTTATTATTACAGCTGAATTAGTTTCCTTGGTGGTATTATATTTACCTGATTTTTTGGGATCATGGATTCCTTACTTTGGCATCTGTGCATGTGAGTACATTGTCTCCTCTTCCAGACACTACAGGTTTACTTTGGCAAACAGCTCTTTACTAGTCAGCTCAGTTTGTTTTTTGTGTTTCATGTCCTCGGGTAGGTGGAACTTTCCATCAGGGTCTATTGGGCAAGGTCACTGCTTGCACTCTAAGGTCAAGGGGCTGTGCCACTGAGAACTGGATAGGACCGCTGACTGCTTCCTTGCCTAAGTGAGGCTTGGAGGATGGGCTACACCTTTTCCTGGGTTCTCTGGCCATGCTACCCAGATGCTTGGGACTGGGCACTATACCTAGAAGTTGGTGGGACTAGGCATTAATGTTATATGGCAACCCTGGAAATTAGATTCTGCCCCCTCCTTAGGGTTTTTGTTTGTTTGCTGTTTTTTTCTCGTTGGTACTTGGTTTAGTGGCATTTTAAACTTGCTTTGTAAAGTTTATATTCTTAGTCATGTGTGGCCACTGGTCTTGTTACAGTGTTTGGTTAGTGATTTGATAGGGGTGTTTCTTAAACATCTAGAACCTCCTGTCCCTGCCAAAGAATGATCCTGGCTTTGGTAGATGTGCTTTGTGTGCGAGAGTGTGTGTGAGAGTGTGTGTGTGTGTGTGTGTGCGCGCGCACGCACTCCCTCCCAGATAGTACCTAACTCTACCATAAACTTCACTTCCTGCTTCTGTACAACCTGAAGGTCAAAGGTGAGGTATAGGGCCTTCTCTCTCTCTCTTTTTTTTTTTTTTTTTTTGGGAGCACACTCCCCGTTCTGCATATGGCTTGTACTTCTAGACTCCTAAGACTACATGGTTGCTTTTCAATGGGAAGCTTCTCTTCACGTCCCAGGCATTTCATTCTGACAGCTCATGCATTGACCTTTGTTTTTGGAAAAAAAAAAAAAAAAAAAAAAAAAAAAAAAACCCTCCAAGTAGTTGTCTCCAGCTAGAGTTGTAAAGTTCTAAGTAAGGTGAAATAAGGTAAGCCCTGTGAGGTGGTATTTCAGGAAGTCAACATTCAGGACTAAGGAACAACTCTCAGTTCTTTGAGAATAAGGTCCATTCTGTGTGCTCTGATACTGGAAACCTATGCCTGAAGTGTGGGTGGTTGTCCTGCAAGGTGCCACTGCAAAGGGAAGCAGGGGATAAGGCCCGGGTAAGTTCAAGCTTTTTTCTTGCTTGTTTGCTATCAGTTCAGTTTCCAGAGTTCTGACGAAGCTGATTCTGAGAGGTTTTGCCAGTTTATTTGCTGATTTTGTAGAAGAACAGGCATTTTTGTAGAAGAACTTCCCACTCCATGCTGCTTTCATTGACATCACTGTGCTTTTCAATATGAATATATTAAAAACGTCATTTTGCACAGATGCAAAAGGACTGAGTATTGAAAATGTCGCATAAAGTGTGGCGATGATGGAGAGAATGTAAACCAAGAATTAGAAGCATTAACTTTCCGTGGTTCTCTCTTCCAACAAAATCTTTATATGGTGTATACTGGTGGCCAGTGCAGCATCCTTGTGAATTAGGCACTGGACCAAAAAGAACATTTGAACTCCATGTAGTTTTAGTAGAGCAGAGTCTGTGGATTGTGTGTGCGTGAAGATGAGGAACTATAAATTAGACATCAGTGGATATTACCGGGTTGTCAGAAGTCATGACACATTTTTGCTTGAAAAACAGAGAAAAAGTAAGTCATGGCTTTTCTGACGACCCAATAAATAACAGTGCTTTTCCAATCATGTTTATAGAATTCCAGTGTTTGAACGGTGACTTCTGACCTGAAATAAGGAGGATTGACAAGGAAGGTCACAGATGGTCAGGTTCTAAGCTTTCCCTTCTGTAGTCCGCCACGATAGTCTTCATCTCTAATGAGTTTTATGAAAAATTTTTTGAAAGTTTCCATTGTTGAAAACATAAAACAAACTGATATACAGGACTGTGTGATAAAAAGGACTGTTGGTAAACACCAAGGGATTTCAAGCAAAAAGAGTCACTGTGAGCTGGAGGTGGACCCTTGGGTTACACAAAATTAGGACAAGTTTCTAATTTTGGAAGGGTATTCCAGTCTTAAGCAGATTGCAGAATCCCCAGGGACAAGGGCTATAGGTACCATCACTTTCTAACCTGCTTGGTGCTTTACACAAGGTAGGCACTTTGCATTTGTTTGGTTAACGACAGGCTGTATTAGCCTCTGGTCTTCAAGGTAGCTATGCTTAGGAAGATGCCCTGTGGTCACAACAGTCACAACAGTTTACACCTGGTGCTTTTCTTTCTCATCTTCTCAAATGGCAAATAGAAGCTGTTCTGCTAAGGGGGGAAAAACCAGTTCCTTGGTATTTGGTACCCTCAGGACTTCACAAAACAACATTACAGCAGGGAGCTCGATCTGTCCCTTTGGAGCAAGTATTCCCATTTGATCATGCGTGCATAATTCAAAAGCCATATGGAAAGTTCCTTTTTATGCTGAGAACACTTTGAGAGTTTCACCAGGTAATTTGTCGAGCAACATTCCCTGAATTCATAAGAGAAACGTATCTACCTTGTCAAAACCACAATGAACAGAGCTTATGTAGTATGTTTACCATCTACTGATGATATAACTAATATATGGCAGAAGAATCTCTTGGGTTTAAAAATAGCTTTATTTAGCATACCAAAACCACAGACACATAAGAAAAACCTTACCTAGTATAAACATAAAAACAGTTAAATACCATAATTTAATGTAAACAATTTTAAAATGTGACATAATAAAATACATGCTATTTACACAGAACCAAATTAAAGCCACCTCCACAGTTCTGGTATCAGATTAGTCTTGAAGTCATCATAACAATGAAACACAGCATTGGTACTAATAGGACAAAAGGAGATCCTTTAATTTACTTTAAGCAGATAGGATTCATTGTGACATTCAAAGTAGGGAGGCGGAAAGTGACAGTTCTAAGGTTCCAGACTCAAGCACTTCCTGTGAGGGTTTGGAAAACATTCCACTGGAAGGCCCTTGAACCCATTTCTTCATTAAAATGCAAACTGGTTGATTCAGTTTAGTCATTGCTTAAGAAAGATACTGCATATATGCTGCAAAAATAAGCCTTTATTAGAAATGATCAAAGGTGAATATCAATCAGATAAGGCAAACACATAAAAATATATATTGATATTATTCCAGACACACCCCTGTAATTATAACACATGTTAAGAAACTCAGCTTATAAAGTCAGATGGGATAGCAAATGGGCTTTTTAAAAATGTAAAATCCAAACCAAATCAAGCCAACCAAACTAAGAGACTGTTTCTTGAAGGGAATGGAATTTATCTTGTCATTGTGGGGGTGCCTCTGACTGATACCACTTATCCTTAAGAAGTGTAGGGTTATCTTCTTTGACCAACAGCCAAAAAAAAAAAAAAAAAAACCATAGTCACTGATCAGTTTAAGCATTTGGCTTTTGCCTCAAGGTTTGACACTCATTTTGACACAGTAATTGGTTTGTAAGCGGCAGTACTAACTCCAGTATGAGGTGCTTAAAATGTAAAACCAAGTTGTAGATACCTAGTAACATAAGCTCCTGCCCTTTTCTCTATCCTTTGCACCTCCAGAACCCTTTACACTCTGAGAATGTATTTGGGATATGGATGCCAGTGGGCTTTTTGTTCATGCATAGATTCTGTCTATCAGTATTTGCCATATTAAATAATAAAACAGAAAAAGTTTAAAATATTTAAAAATTTAAATGTCCATTACATGCTAACACAAATAACATTATAAAGAAAATATCCATATTTTCTAAAAAAAGATTTGTGAGAAGCAGGCATTTATATTTTTAACTATTTTTGAGAGCGTGAAAAAGAAAAAAGGCTATTTTCTTAATAACACAAACATGATTTATCTCACAGATCCCCTGAAAGTTTCTCAAGGACTCCAGGGGGCCCAGGGACCACTCTGAAAACTGCTGGTCTAGTCTAAGGCCTGATATTAGTGACCACATAAGGCTACACAAAAGGAGTCTTATTTTTCACTTAAACCCTCAAAACCAACACACACACATATCCACCACTGGATCAAATACTCCCACTTAGAATTTTCTTTTTTTAAAGATTTATTTAGGCATACAAGAGCTGGGGTACAGGCCAGAGGTGTGGGGGGAGGGGTAAGAGGATTCACCAGAGACAGAGTGGGGAACAGAACGGGCAGATTGACCGAAGTACACTGCTGAGGGGAGCAGCGGGCAAGTCGGAGAGGTCTGCCATGCCATGTGGGTAGCTCCCTGGCTGGCCAGGAATCAAACTCATGCTGCAGAGGCTGAAGATAGCTTCAGAGGTTGCGTCTTAATCCTTGTGCCACCAAGGAGGCCCCGCCCCCACTTTCAACTTTAAAAGCCAGAGATCACCAAATACTTATGGTCAAATTCAAAACAACACTCTTTTCTGCTGAGATCAGATCAGGCTCAAGATTTTTTCATTTTTAGTCTGCGAAAGCTACAAAATCTGTTAACACACGTCTCAGTTCCTTTTTGATATTTGCTTAATCCTGTTTGTGCTGAGCTGGCTGTGGCCTTTAAGTGGGTACAGCAGTGATACAGACCAGGGAATGTCAGGAGCTTAACTAACACCCACACACTTGGAGTCTGCTCCTTTTCTTACTATGTGAAAACTGATACATTTTAGGGAAACAGACTCAGAAAGCTGTCCCTTCACCACAGTCAGAGCATTGCTATGTCTGGACCCCTAGATAGCCCTTCACAGCTCACAACTTAGTTTCACACATTCCATCTCCTGAGATCCTTTTTAAGCCCAGAGGCAGGGGGAGGAGTGGGGGCCTATGGAAAAGGGCAGGTCAAAGATCTACTTTTGAGTTGAGAAATTTGAGGGTGGCCTATGGTCCTTCCCAAAGTACAATGGAAATGCGTCATAGAAGTCATAGAAAGAGATCTAGAATCCACCTGATTTCTAGTTTACTGTTCTCCCTGCCAGCCTTCCCTTCCCTGAGGGTGGGATTGAAGGGAGGGTCAGCAGAGACTAGGCAGAGGGTGTTAACACCTACAGTCAGCATCACTTCTACCTCAGCAAACATTTTATCCAACACACAGGAGACTTGGGCGTGGTGCAGACGTTGCCCTGAACAGACGTAATGAATTTGCCACTCGTGCCTATATAAGGGGACTTCATACTACATAAGTCCCTTTTTTTCTTTCTGAGCCAGTTTATGTTGGCAGTTCATTCACAGTCTGTTCCCTCTGCTCCAAGGGAAAAGTAAAAATCCTGTAGTTAAAAGAAAATCCGATGAAAACACAAAATGAAAGAGCAACAAAAATGCGGGCTTTGTGAAGTTAAAACCAGATTTACTGTGCCCCTGGCACAACACAGACTGCAGTTTTCTTCCACCAACTAGGGAGCAATATAAAAATCACAGTTCTTCATGGAATGGAAAATTGCCTCTTAATCATCTTGAGGCAAAGACGTCAGGTTATATGAAAACATTAAGAAAGTAATTTTTAGAACTTTAACTAAACTCTTAGGTACTTGAAGATTTTGTGGTGGTAGGCGAGGGAGTAGACAAGAGTAACAGGCGATGAAACTGTAGAAGTCATTGTCCCCAGTGAGCAAAGGCATGCTCACATCTATTTCCTGCCATTGACACACAGATCTGCTTCAGGAGACACTGTTACCAGAAATTCGTCTCCACTAAGTTGTTAATACAAAGAGCATGAGACCGTCAAACACACAAAACATTTTAATTTTTTTTGGGGGGGGAGGATTGGGAGGCAGTCAACATGATCCCTCCAAAACTAGCTCAGGTGCCGCTAATGACCAACAGTTGTCTTGGCACACACACTAAGCTAAGGTGCCTTTCCTCTCGGAGATGTTTCTAAAATGGAGATCGACTACATACATTTTTTTTCCCTTCGAAGGTAGGTGAAGGAAAAAGGTTAATAAAAGCCAGTAAGAGTTAGAAAACATCCCAAGTTCATCTTATTTTCAAAATCCAACAGCATGTTGCTGGCTGTCTAGTCTACAAATTGTTGGTGCCCTTCTCCCCAATTTTGGTGAGTAATGTTCTCTTTACACATGATTCAGACAGAAGTTAATATTTTGTAAGACACTTGCACATATATGCATATACATATATACACACATGTATAGCTCCTCGTGGCACATGAAGACCTCCACTAGTATGTTTTTCTACACATATTTCCATTAGCAAAAATGAGCGTGAATGTTTTTATAATAGGAAACAAAACTAATGAAAATCAAATCAGAAAATGTGAAGTGGTATGCTGTAAGAGTAATAAAATGAGTCAATGCACATTTATGTAGTGGTAAAGTGCTAGAAAGTTCTTTCATTAGTATTTAAAAATGATTATAGTAAAAAAAAATGTAGCTTCATTTGATGGTGGTGACCACAGGCACCATAGCAATGGCACTGGCTGAGCTGGAGTTGATGATGTCCTCATACTCTGGCGGGGGGTCTAAGTGAGGCTCTGTTTCGTTCCTGTGCAGGCTCACCTGTCCAGTGGCTTCCTCATAGGTGGGTGGGGGATCACAGTTAGACAGGCGAGTGGAGACAGAATCTGAGCGTCCGACTACATATTCCAGAAAGCCTGGCGACAATCCACTGCTGTCAAATACATCATCTGGTGGGGGCGGCTGAGTGATGATATTAAGGTGCTGAGGGAAAGGAATATGGCCTTCAGTCACCGTTTGTCTGCGAGTCTTGTTTCTCAGGAAGCATCTCCAGATTAGGAAAATGACAAGGAGGATAATGAAGAGGCCAAAGATGAGTGGGAAGGTAAGGTAAAACTGAAACCAGTCACTTCCTCTGTTACTCTCTCCTTGTTGCGCTTTAGTGTAGGTGTTCCAAAACTCCTTCTGAGAAGATAAAATACATTGAAAATTAGTCTGATCAACATCAAAGAAATTCCATTAAAATTACATGATACTCTGAATCCTCCCTAAAAGGGCTGTCAGAGCCAAGAGTCTTTTTCAAGACTTGGAGAGTTTTATCCTTTCTAGCTGTGAAATATCAGTGGGAAAAATAAAACTTGAGAGATTTCCCCTTCCAAATTATACTAAATCCTCTTCCCTTAGAATCTCAATTATTATTTTCCATGTCCAACTCATTGTATCCAAACAGCATTACTAGCATAGCAACATCTGCTTTTCTAGGTGGCTGTAGCTTTCAGTACTCAAACACTTGACAGATCAACACCTCATTTTCTAATGGTTCTCTCTGGGGTCTCCCCTACATCCCTCCACATCTCTCCCTCCCAAAGTTAGTGCAGATGTTGGCTAAGTGCTGCAGGTACACACTGCCTCTAAAATAGGAAGGTCTGGCTAGTGAAAAAATGATTTGCAAAGCTAGACTGTAATCCCCGATGACATGTGATGTAGTAGCTCAGCCTTGAATGTCTGTGGGGGAAGTATTAAAAAAAATAAAAAGGAAACCTGGACAAGTTGCTCTTGGACACCTTAGTTACACAAACCAGCCACAGAGGCTACCTGGGCACTACATGAGACCATGTACTAATGAGGTTCCTGGCATATAAATTAATGGTAATTTTTGTATATCAAGATCAAGTCTCTGCTTCAAATTGATTGCTGAATCTATCTGATACTTTGGTACAAAGACTGCCCCAACCATGGTGCTACTGACTCCGTTTACACTGCCTAAACTTAGCCAAAAACTGCTTCTCTCTATATTTATTGGCAGGCACTATAGGTCACTGACATTATTTAATCCAAATTGGCAAAGGTAGAGTTGGGGAAGGGAGTTGTCATTATCCAGATGGGCAAACAGAGGTTGCTGGATTAGGTCAGGGATTGTTAACCTCAGATGTGCCAGGGGAGCAAGACATTTACATAAATCTATGACGCTGGTCCAGAGTAACACTCTGGATACTAATGCTGCTGGCTTTACAGTCACCGACACTAAGCATAAGGTACATTGTGGGCATAACAATGACCCAAAATCATGAATATTCTACTTGTGAAATAGATCTTTTCTATGGTACACATTATTCTGGCGTTCTGTGTTTCTAAGATGAATTTGGGGCGTGTTGGAAGAACCGTATGATTTATGACAGGCAGTATACAGGTGAAAATATGCAAAGTTCAGTTCAATATTAAAATAAGAGTAGAAAAAGTATACCCTAAAGTATACAGCATTATTTGTAGGACATTGCCCAAAACCTGAAATTGTCAAATGATGAAATTTGTTTCACTAATAAAAACTTAATCGCAGGTAAAAACTCATGAAGCTTACTTTTAAGACAATACACGTGCTTTTAATTTTTTATATTAATTTTTTGTATAATCGTCCCTTTTAGGACTGCAAACATCAAATACTTCCGATTATAGAGTAATAGTTACATACAATTTTAATACACAGAAACATCTAAAGAGAAAATATACAATCACATCTCAAAGATAATCACTTTAGATGCATTCTTGGCAACTTTTAATTCTGCTCTGCATTATGTATGATGTTTGTACTTCTAGACCCAGTTTACCTGTCTTACCCACTCTCTAAGACCCTCCTCCCTCCAATAACTATTCTACTTTTTGTTACCTATGAGTTTGTTGTTTTTAAGATTCCACACCTAAGGGAAAATATACAGTGTTTCTCTTTCTCTGTGTGACTTATTTCACTTAGCATAATTCCTTCAAGGTCTATTCATGTTGCAAATGGCAAGATTTCATTCTTTATGGCCGAGTATTTCATTATATGTATATGCACACACACGTTCTATTGACTGGGATTAATTTCTCTTTGATGCTTTACTGTTAGTGTATAGAAACAGAGCCAATTTCTATATTGATTTTGTTCCATGCAACTTTACTTATTAGTTCTAAACATTCTTTTGTGGCATCATTGGGCTTTTCTGTATATAACATGTCATCAGTAAATAGTGAGACTCTTATGTTTTCTTTTGATTTGAGTACCTTCCGTTTGCTCTGGTCTATCTGCTATGTCTAAATCTTTCAAAACTAGTGGGCACCTTGTCTTGTTCCTAAACTTAGAGGAAAATCTTTCAATTAGTCCCTGTTGAATATGATGTTATGCTGAGGTCCATTCTCTCTATATATACTTTGTTGAGAGCTTTTTATCATAATTGCATATTGAATTTTTCAAAAGCTTTTTCTGCATCTATTGAGATGATTATAATATTGTTATCCTTTGTTAGTATGATGTATCACATTTGATTCACAGATGCTGAACCATCCTTGCATCCCTGGAATAAATCCCACTTCATTGTGGTATATGATCCTTTTAATGTATTCTTGAATTCAGTTTGCTAATATCTTTCATAGGGTTTTTGTATTTATACTCATCAGGGATGTTGCCTTGTAATTTTCTTGTGACATGCCTGCCTGGTTTCGGTATCAGGGTAATGCTGGATTCCTAAAAGGAGTCCAAAAGAGTTCTCTTCCATTTTTTTGGAATGCTTTGATAAGGGTTGGCAGGTACCAATAGAAACCTTTGGTCATGGAATTTTGTGGGGAGGCTTTTGATTAATTATAAGTAACACAATGAAATTGGTAGTCTATTCAATCTTGGAAGAGTGTATGATTCTAACCTCTCACGAATTTATCCACTAGATTATAACAACTCTGCACCAACAATCTGGATAGTCTCCTGTGATGACTTGTCTATCTACGAACCAGTTGTTAGTTTCACTTATCAGTGAATACTTAGAATGTTTCCACAAATAGGCTATTGTCAGTCATGCTGCAATGAACATAGGGGTGCATATTATCTTTTTGAATTCGTGCAGTTTATTCTTTGGTTACTTAGAAGTGAAATTGCTGTATCATATAGTAACTTCTTCCCATAGAGTCTGCACTGATTTCCATGTATGATGGTTCCTTTTCCCCCCATACCAACACCTTGTTGTGGTTCTTTTTTGATATAGGACATTCTTACTTTAATAAGTGAGGTCATGCATTTCTTTTGTTGAGTTGTATGAATTCTTTATCTTGGATATTAAACTCCTTAGAGTATAGGGTATATGACGTGCAAATATTTTGCTCCATCCACCAAGAAGAAAACAAAGTTTAGGCAAAAATGGAATTAAAAACAAGATTTTTATCTGATCCATAATAATCCAGTCCTTATCTAATAATAATGTAGGTTAGAAAGGTTAATAATAAACCCAAGGTTATTTAACATGTAAATGCTGGAGATGTGATTTGAACGTAAGAGGTAGGCATCTGAGCAAGCTGTCTTGGTGACACAGGAGAGACTGTAAACTGGTTTGGCCACTTTCCAAGAAAATTTAATCTTCCAATCATGTTAAATTGTGGCTGGCTCATTTTGTAGATTAAATATAACATTGATATGACTAAAGTGATACTGACATGTTTCTTTGCAACTGAACTAGAGTTGTCCTTTAAAATGGAGAATAAGATTAAATCACTTGAAATCAAGACTAACATAAGTATCATTCATATAGATAAACCCAGTTTGTCTTTTGTAAACTATTTAAATATCCCTCTATCTTACTGAAATAAGTAAAATATATTCAAAAGAGCAACTGAGTCCAAAAGGTGGTAAGCGGTGCTTAAAAGGTAATGAAAATTTGTTTGATAAAGAAAATATGGCAACAAGTTCTCAGTAGTTTTAGATCTTCCAGAGTTTTGAACTGTTTCACAGGGAAGAGCCCCAAGAGGTAAATGCTTTATCCCAGTAGCTGAATTTTGTTTTATTGAGGGATTTTTGTTGCTATTTCTTAAAAAAAAATTGTGCTTTTCTGATTTGAACTTTCTTACTACCATTTCTGAAATAGAATTCAAGTGATTTAAGGCCTGAAGGACTCTATTCATAACCTGGAAAAAAGCAGAGCCCAGCATGTTTTATAATGTGGTTAGTCAGCTCAGAGCCTGTCTTTACATTTTGGAGGTAGGGATATTCCTTGAACTTGGATTGCCCAGAAGCACTTATAGTCAGCTCTGACGTTGGCTTATCCCTGTCCTTGGACAAGAATGACAGGATTGTGATTTGTCTCTTGTCTGCGTTTTTCCCCCTTATCTCCAAATGTTGCCTTGTTGAGATCGAGTTGCGACATTCAGCAAGAGCTTGTCCAAAAAATTTAACATTCTTTATCAAGGGGGATATCCTAGGGAAAATAGCTTAACATTTTTGTGCCAATTCCTTTCTCAGTAGGGTAGGAATATGGAGATATAACATCCGAGGAAACAGATTTGTAAATTGTAAAGTACTATACAAAAAGTAGGGTATTTTAAAAATCTTTTTTCTTACAATATTTGCTTTCTTTTCTCAGGTGTAGTCCCCATAGAATTTCCACCACTGGTTCACCCGTGCACCATCACCATAGGGTGCTCTTCCCACCCTCGTTTTGATTACTTTCCCTCCCCTGCAGAATGTCTCTGATTTATATAGTTGTCTATTTTTTATTGTTATATTTTTCCTTGATCCCCTATATTCCTCCTATAAGTGAAACCATCTGGTAGTTTTCTTCTTTGACTTATTTCACTGAGCATAACATGCACAAAAACAACTCAAAATGGATCAAAGAATTAGACATAAGACCTGAATCCATAAAATATATGGAAGAAAATATAGGCAAAAACACTACATGACAGACATCTCAGTAATATCTTTAAAGACTCATCACCTAAAGCAAAGAAAGTGAAGGAAAAGATAAACAGCTGGGACTACATCAAATTAAAAAGCTTCTGTACAGCAAAAGAGACATTAACCAAAACAAATAGACATCCCACTGATTAGAAAATTTTTCCTTTCCATACAACTGATAAGGGACTGATCACAAAGATCTACAAAGAACTCATGATTCAACAAAGTTTGCAATTCAGTCAAAAAATGGGCAGAAGAACTTAGAAGATACTTA